TTTCCATCTCCATTCAATTTCATTTTTTCGAGCGAAGGAACTATTGCTCGAGCGAAGAACAAACTAACTCGCTCGAGCGAAGAAAAGCTCGCTCGAGCCAAGAATGCAAAGCTTCAGATCCAACCCAGACGCAAACTCTCGCTCGAGCTACCAAACCCCGGCTCGAGCGAAGAACCAAAACAACATCTCGCTCGAGCGACAAACTCCTCGCTCGAGCGAATAACCAAAATTCTGGACAACAACACTTGGTTTCTAAACCCAACCAACCTGAACGAACCTGCCCAACACATCCTATAATTCCAAATGAGAAAATAAGGAACAACAACAACAACAATTATACAATGACAGAATCTACGGAACAGACCGGATAAAATAATCAAATGGGAAAAGACCGGGGTCGCTATAGGACCCATGCCATGCCAAGTCTTGTAGCATAATTCATGTTATCTTAATCCCCTTTTCATCTTAATTTATTTTATCTCAATTCATGAGTTATTTCCATTCATTACAAACAACCATACTGCGGATACAACTCAAACGTTCTCAAATCAATATAGCCATCACACAAACACTTGCACTTGCCATTTTAAGGAAATTTCGTCCGTGGGAATCAGCACCCATGTATACACAATGTTTTCAGGACTTTTACCCTAGATGCACCGGCCAACTTAATTCAATGGAGTACATCCCCTTTCTTCTCCCAAACATAGAGTACATCTCTTTTCTCCTCCCAAACGTCATACATATACAATGTATTAAAACATAGTCATATTCAATGACAATCAATAAGAGATTAGTTTCAATTTACCTAATCCTTATGTAATTTCTACAACAATCATGGCTATCCTCCACCGATAGCCCAAAACAGATATTTCTAAACAGATATACAATCTTTAAAATAGATAAATTATCCAAATTTCCATAGGTGAGAGGTAATACATATCCAAGAACACCATTTATATAAACATTCATCTAATTTCGTGTTTTTGATACCAATTTCATTATTTATGCAAAATAATTATTTAAAAAGTTTTAGGACCAAACCCCATTTTTGTCCAAAATTCCTCCCAAGTACCAAAACCGCTAAAATTCTCACAACACACCTCATCTTTATTCCCATAATCATCCTTTTTGCGTTTACATTACAAAACCCCTCATTTGATTTTACAACCCAATCCCTAGGAGTGCTCAACATCATTCCAAGTTTCAATATTTCTTACACAATAACAAATAACTAAGTTAAAACTCGTAGAAGAGTGTAGAAAGTCCCTACCTCAAGCTTAGAGGACCAATGCAACAATGGAGGAACTTCAAAGACACCAAAACAAAATCTTGTCGAACCAAAACGGAGCTCAGGAGACGCTTTACATTTTTGACAAAAGCACCTAGGTAGAGAACCCAATAGATGTAGATGAAAAAGTAGAGAAAATGTGAGTTTTAGAGAGAGAAGCTCAAGATCTAGGATTTTGAAATGTTTTAGAGAGAAAAAGAGATGTAGAAAAGAGCTATTGCAAACTGATACACGCACAGTCCGCTCGAGCGCAAGAAGTGACGCTCGAGCACAAAATACACACTCCCAGTAGTTTTGCAGAGAACAGACCATCGTTCGAGCGCAAGAATGGCCGCTCAAGGGTAGGAAACACTGCTCGAGCTCAAAAGTGCTGAGTAGTTTTGCAGACCTGCAAAAGTATTGAGGGTTTACAAAGCCCGCTCGAGCGAAAGAAGTGCTACTCGAGCAAAGGAGTAAAATCATAGGCAACAAAAGTTTGAAAACCAAGCAACCAACATGTTCCAAACATACTCGATACAACCCAATAGCCAAATTCAAGTAAGAATAAGGGGAAAAAACATGAACAACATTCAGAAATCATAAAATTCAAGTCTCGAATATCAAATGGATCAGGTCAAAAATCAGAATCGCTATAATATCTATATAAATATGTATGAATAATTCAAAAAGAAAATTAAGGGAAAAATAAATACTCTACATAATTAATTTATGTATTTTCTTTTTAATCCAATCACAACATATTTATATTTAATTTTTAAAATAAATTTTGTTTAACTCTATTTTTGCATATTTTTATTTTCCAAATAAGTATAAAAATAAAATTGAATAATAAGAATCATTTATAGTTTTATATTACTAATTCTATTTCTAATTTAACTATTATTTTTAATATGAAAATGAGTGTTTATTTTATTATCTTATAATTTAATATATGTCATATAAAATTATATGATAATTACACTTTTATATCACAATAGAACTAAAATTATCAAAATAAACAAATAATTTAACTAAATTTGTTATTATATAAGTATTGAAGTAACCTTTTTATAGAACGATAATGCTAAGGTTATTAAAATAAAGGATTAATTATCAAAAAGTCCTATCTACATATTTGGTGGTAGCTTAGGTCCTGTCAAGAAGTTTTTGAACCATTAAGTTCCATTTATAGGTAAAAAGACGTTTTGCCCTTTAATCCCAAAACTGAGAATGTTCTCAAATTTTAAAACTGAGAACGTTCTCAATTTATAATTATCAAAACTAAGAAATTTCTCAATTTTTTCTAGTATGAACTAATAATATTATCAAAACTAAGAAATTTATAATTATCAATTTTGAGAAATTTTTCAATTTTTTTCATGATTAAAATTGAGAATATTATAAACTGAGAATGTTCTCAATTTCAACCAGAACCAGACGCATCTCTCTCTCTCTCTCTCTCTCGGTTGGGATTGAGAATTCGATCTTTGATCTCCTCCTTTCTCAATCTTTCATTTCTTCAAACCTTGAGAATTTTCGCTGCCCTAACCACCGAATTTTCTCGCGCAATCGCTTCTCTTCCAGCAGCCTTGTAATCGAAGCTACAATCATGGCGATCCGAGTACCGATGCTCCGAACAAAACAGATCTCCGCATCGACATCGGAAACTGGTCAGCCCGACCTTTCTCTTACAACCGGAGCACCGGTCCTCCCGTCTCTTCACCTCCGTCGCCGTCGTCGTCGCCGCCGTCGTCGCCGCCGCCGCCACAAGCGGCTGTTGAAGCCGAGCACGACGAAGATGATGAGGAGGAGGTGGTGGAGAAGTCAAATCTGATAATCTCTCAGGCGATCTCACGAAACACGATTCACTCATTGTAATTGCGTAGAATTTCAAATTGCAAATGTGAAGAGAGAGAGAATGAAGACAGCAATGATATTTGGCAGCTATGAGGAGGTCTTGGAAGGATAAATTAGGCTATTAAAAATTAATGAGACTTGAAGGAGCAAATAATTTTATTTAGGACTTAATAGAGTATAAGTTCACAAAATGGGACTTGTATGTAAATGCCCCTAAAATAAATAATTTAAATTAAAAATGTATTTTGAATTAAAATTAATATTATTCTTTTGTAACACGTATCATGATATAAAGTATCATTACATTAATTAAAATTAACTCCATTGTAATTTTATGTCAGATATCATATTTCTAGAAGTGATTTGCATACACATATAGCATCTAATTTGATATTGACTGATTAAAATAATGGAACTCAATATTTTTTTTTTCTTAAGCTTTTAGAAGATAAATTGAAAAATGTCAAATGATAAATAGTGTGGAGTATTATTTTAAAAAATAATGATTCATAAAAAAAATGATTTATATATTTAAGGCACCTATTGATGTTTCTTGAATAATTGTTAAATAAAAATTTTGAATTTATAGTATTATTGATAATGCACCTTCATGAGCTCTGCCAGAAAAGATATGAAAAAATAATTTGATTGGAATAAAAATTTTGCGATTATTATGATGTGTCACATAATTAATCAAAATCCCTTTGAGAGTTGAAATTATTAAGGTTATATAGATTTCGTGCTTGATTCTCTTTGAGAATACTGTTTATGGTTTGATTTTATATTTTTTATACATCAATGTGAATAACTCTTATGATCTTATTGATATAAGCATAAATTCTACATTTGAGTCAACTCATTTTAAGCACTTTTTCGTATAATAAAATATTTAAATATTGTCATATAAAAATATTATACTGTTATCAAACACCACTTGAATTATAATTAAAGACCCAATGCACCACTTTAGACATAATAAAAAAAATTAAGAAATTAGCAAAAGACCTTTTTGATTACTAATTAAAATAATACATCATGAGTTATAACCAAGTTATAATTTGTATATTATTGAATGTTCTGTTGTTTTTAATTTTATTTTTTTTGAAAAAAATATTTTGATACGAGTAGAATCCATGATTTTTGGTAAATTTGATTAATACAAATAAGGAGTTGATTTCAAGTTGAGAATACACATTATTTTTTTATGAGCTTATTTTATATAGGATCACACATAGTGACAAGAATTTCCATCAGCTATTAACAAATTTGTTTATATTTAGCTTTCAATTGTTAAATTTTCTATGCAAAACATTAAAACTCAAAATTAATTTTTTATTTTAAAAATAAATTCTTATGCATCGCACGAGTCACCCACTAGCTCAACATATATATCTACATATTCAATTTCACTTTCTGTAATGTGATTTTTATTCTTTGTATATTTGTATTAAAAAAAATCAATGTATATACACTACAACAAATAGCACTTTTGGCGACTAAATTTTTAGTCGTCAAACGTCAAGTTTTAATCGGCAAAATTTTTTAGCAACTAAAAGTTTTGGTCGCCAAGTTAGTTGGTGGACAATTGTCGAGAAAGGCTATTGGCGACTAATTAGTCGCCAAAAGTATTCAATCGCTGACCATTTTTTTAGTCGCCAAAAGCATTAAATTAAAATTAAAATTAAATATAACATTTTCAGCGACCAAAACTTCTTGTCGTGAAAACTTGAATTATTTTTATTGACTAAAACTTTTTTTTTTTAGCAACTAAATATTTTAGTCGCCTAAAGTTTGATTTTTTTTTTTTTTGGCTACTAAACTTTTAGTCGCCTAAAGTCTGATTTATTTTTGTCTACAAAATCTTTAGTCACCAAAAATATTTTGTTGTTCATCTAATTTTTTGTTAACTACTAAATATTTTAGTCACCTAATGTTTGATTTTTTTTCAACTACTGAACTTTTAGTAGTCTAAAGTCTGACTTGTTTTTGCCTACTAAATCTTTAGTTGCCAAAATATTTTTGTTGTTTTTTTTTTGCAATTTTTTAACTACTAAATATTTTAGTCGCTTAAAGTCTGATTGTTTTTTGGCTACTAAACTTTTAGTTGCCAATTTTTTTTATTTTTTTTAAATTTTTTTTAATTTTTTTTTTTAGCTACTAACTATTTAGTTGCTAAAATATATACTTCCTTTTTGCCTATGAATTGTTTAGTCACCATAAACATGATTTTATGTTTTTTCTCCAAATTATAATTTGTCCACAACCTATATGTATTTCGTGCAACCTATACTATATATGAACAAAATAATACATATATTATCAATCATTCCACAATAGATCTGCATCCATTTCACTTTCAACCATCAAAAAATGAATAATTTTAAATGTAAAATTCCATACAAACCATAGTCCAACATGTACTATGGCCCTGTTTGGTAGAGCTGTGGGAAAGTGCTTATAACTTATGCCTTAACAGCTTATAACTTATAATTATGAACACAAGCTGATTTCTGACTTATAAATTAAGCTTCTCCTGCCTCACTTAAATAATAAACTGATTTCTGACTTACAAAAAGCTATAAGCTGCATTGTTAAGCTAAACCAAACACATCAAAATAGCTTAAATTAAGCTGAAAGCTGAAATAAGCTGAAAAAAAGCTGTACCAAACAGGGCTTATATAGTCCAAACTAAAATAATAATTCCATGCAAAACATAACAAGTTAAAAAAATCAAGCCCTCTGTATACAAAAAATATATGTAGTACCAAGCGAAATGCCCATTTGTCGTGGTACAAACTACCATCGTAATTTGTACCATGACAAAAGGTAATCTATGTACCATGCTTGTAATTATTTGTACCATGAAAAAAGGTAATTTATACACCACGCTTGCAATTATCAAGTCGATGCCAAAAATTATCTGTACAAATAATACTAATCCACACAAAACCAGAGGACAACACAATTAGCAAGATTATACAAAAGTCTAAATTGTCCTCCATACACAAATGGATTATCCACAAGTCCACACCAAAAGCCATCTACAAAATAAATAAATAAATAAATAGGTAATAAAATAAAATAAAATTGCACACATTAGTATCTAGAAATACATGCTTCAATGTAGCTATCTATTCATCTTTTTTTAAAAAAAACTAATACTAATGCATTAATGATAGCCTTTTGGTGATGACTATGATCTATCCCTTGTAAAGTTTTTTATTTAATTTTTTTTTCAATTAATGGAAATGGAAATTAGATCATGCAGCAGATAAGGAAAATTATCAATCATGCATATGTATATGCATGCATTATAATAGTCTTAGTTCATCATTCTACAATTATTCAATCACCTTTGTCTTAGTGTGTGTATGGAGTGGATATCATTGATGTTATTCTTCAAATTTGGTATTACATTACATGAATGTTTGTTATAGCAAAAGAGTGGTCACAATTCAATTTCGTCTATTAAGATTTATGTAGTTTCATTATGTAGATAGACATTAACAAGGGGACGTGTGTAAAATTCAAGAACAAAAGGGTTCGTTGTTTTGCATTTACGCCCCCCCGTATGGCCTTTTTCAACTAAGTTTAAGGCATTTTTGGCTCTAGCTCTCAAACTACGCATGCTAAATACATGCCATATGTGGCCATAGGTTGTATTTGTCATGAGAATGCTACCCTTGACATCCATACAGTGCTTCGGGAGTTGTTTTGTATTTTCGCATCCCGAAGTCCTTTTTCGACTAAGTTTAAGGCATTTTCGGCTTTAAATCTCAAACTAAGAGTGCTAATTACATGTCGTTTGTGGTCACATGTCCTATTTGTGATGAGGATGCGGCCCATGACATCCATACAGTGCTTTGGGGGCTGTTTTGCAATTTCGCCCACCCGAAAGCCCTTTTTTGACTAAGTTTAAGGCGTTTACAGCTCTAACTCTCAAATTATGCATGCTAAATACATGCCATCTATGGCCACAAGTCGTATTTGTGACGAGGATGTTGATCATGACATCCATACAGTGGTTTGGGGCGCTGTTTTGCATTTTTGCCCCTCGAAAGCCCTTTTTTGACAAAGTTTATGGCGTTTTCGACTCTAACTCTTAAACTTTGCATGCTAAATACATGCTGTCTATGGCCCCAGGTTGTATTTGTGATGAGGATGTTGCCCGCGACATCGATACAGTGCTTCAGGGGCTGTTTTGCATTTTACCCCTAAAAGCCCTTTTTCGACTATGTTTAAGGCGATTTTAGCTCTAACCCTCAAACTACGCGTGCTAATTAAATGTCGTCTGTGGCCACAAGTCCTATTTGTGATGAGGATACTGCCTATGACATCCATATAGTGCTTCGGGACTGTTGTGCATTTTTGCCCACCGAAAACCCTTGTTTGACTAAGTTTAAGCCGTTTTCGGCTCTAACTCTCAAACTATGCATGCTAAGTGCATGCTGTCTATGGCCACAAGTCCTATTTGTGATGAGGATGCTGCCCATTACATCCATACAGTGCTTCAGGGGCTAGTTTGCATTTTCGCCCCTTGAAAGTCCTTTTTCAATTAAGTTTAAGGCATTTTCGACTCTAACTCTCAAACTACGCGTGCTAAATTCCATGATGTCTATGGCCACAAGTCTTACTTTTGGCGGGGATGCTTCCTGTGACAACCATGCAATGCTTCGGAGCTTGTTTTGCATTTTCGTCCCCCGAAAGCCCTTTTCCGACTAAGTTTAAGACGTTTTCGGTTCTAACTCTGAAGCTATGCGTACTAAGTGCATGTCGTTTGTGACCACAAGTCCTATTTGTGACGAGGATGCTGCTTGTGACATCCATACAGTGCTTCAGGGCTATTTTTCATTTTCGTCCCCTGAAAGCTCTTTTTCCACTAAGTTTAAGACATTTTTGGCTCTAACTCTCAAACTAAGCATGCTAATTACATGTCATCTGTGGCCACGGGTCGTATTTGTCACGAGGAAGCTGCTTGTCACATCCATACAGTGTTTTTGACACAAAACTCTAAAA